GCCTCCAGGGCGGCGCTGCCGTGGGGACTTTTTTGCTGCACAAAATTGAGGCGGGGCGCAGCAGCACCTCAGCAGCAGTTCATGGCTTTTGGTGAGGTTGCTGCTGCTGCTGCTGCTGCTGCTGCTGCTGCTGCTGCTGCTGCTGCTGCTGCTGCTGCTGCTGCTGCTCTGGTTGCTGCTGCTGCTGCTGCTGCTGCTGCTGCTGCTGCTGCTGCTGCTGCTGCTGCTGCTGCTGCTGCTGCTTCTGCTGCTGCTGCTGCTGCTGCTGCTGCTGCTGCTGCTGCTGCTGCTGCTGCTGCTGCTGCTGCTGCCGCTGCTGCCACTGCCGCCGCTAACACTGCTGGCGCTTGTGATGGCGCTGCTGCTGCAGTGGTGTTTGTGCTGCTGCTGCTGCTGCTGCTGCTGTTGGCGGACTGCTGTTGCTGCTGCTAGTTTGCTGCTGCTGCTGCTGCAGCGCGAGGTGCTGCCGCCGCCTCTCAAGCTCTGTAGACTAAGCTTTCACACGGTGCTGCGCCTAGCTAGCCAGCTAGCTAGCTAGCTAGCTAGCTGGCCAGCCAGCTAGCTAGCTAGCCAGCTAGCTAGCTAGCCGGGTATCTAAATAGCTAGCCATCTAGCTAGCTGACAAGCCAGCTAATTAACAAGATAGTTAAATAGGTAGCCGCCTAGCTAGCTGGCTAGCAAGCTACCTAGCTAGCTAGCCAGCTAGCTGGCTGGCTAGCTAGCTAGCTAGCTAGCCAGGCAGCTAGCTGAGCTGCTGCTGCTTTGTTGCAGGTGCCTTGTGCTGGTTCGCTTCTGCGAAATGTACGGGTGGGCTTTTCCGGTGGAGACGCAGCAGCAGCTGTTTGCTGCAGCAGCAGCAGCACTGCTGCGGAGCATGCGGGAAGCTGCAGCAAAAGGAGCAGCAGCAGCAGCATCTGCTGCTGCTGCTGCTGCAGACCCTACTGCAGCACTCACCAGGCAGGTGACCCTCATGCAGGCCCTCACAGCTTTGTTGCTGCTGCCGGTGCGGCGGCTGCTGCAGCAGCAGCAGCAGCGGCAGCCACTAGACAACCGAGCTTTCTCTAGCAGCAGCAGCAGCAGCAGCAGCAGCAGCAGCAGCAGCAGCAGCAGCTTTGCTGCTTGGCAAGGGGCCCTAAGCGAGGAGGAGACAGCACAAAAAGGCCCCTCTCTTGGGGTGTCTCTTCTTGACAGCCAGCTGCTGGCAGCAGCACCCCCTATCTCGTGTCTCAGGTAATTGCTGCTGCTGCTGCTGCTGCTGCTGCTGAACCTTTTGCTGCTGCTGCTGCTGCTGCTGAACCTTTTGCTGCTGTTGCTGCTGAACCTCTTGCTGCTGTTGCTGCGGTTGCTGCTGCTGAGCCTGTTGCTGGTGCTGCTGCCACTGCTGCTGCTGAACATCTTGCTGCTGCTCGTGCTTCTGCTGCTGTTTCTGGCCCCCCTTTCTGCTGCTGCTGCTGCTGCTGCTGCTGAACTTTTGAAATTTCTGCTGGCACACGTTTTTGCTGTTGCTGCTGCCACGCGTCCCAATGCTGCTGCTGCTGCTGCAGTGCATGCCCTGCTGCTGCTGTTGCTGCTGTGCTGCTGTGCTGCTGCTGCAGCGGAGAGGCCTCGCAAGTGTGTGGGGCGTTGCGGGCTGCTGCGACGTTTGCCAGTGAGGACCTGCTGCTGCTGCTGCTGCAGCATGGGGACTATTTTGCTGCGGCGGTGCAGCAGCAGCAGCAGCAGCAGACGCCCCGTTTCATGCTGCTTCCCACTTCGCTGCTGCAGCCCTCTTACTTGCTGCTGCTGCAGGTGCTGCTGCTGCTGCTGCCCCCCGAGTCCACTCGCCGGGCCATGCTGCTGCTGTTTGAGCCTCCCTTTCTGGGCCGGGGCCCCCCAGCAGCAGTAGCAGCAGCAGCAGCAGCAGCAGCAGCAGCAGCAGCACCAGCAGCAGCAGCAGCGCAGGCGGAGTCGAGGGCGGGGGCCCCCCTTAGTGGCTGGCTCAGCCAGTGGGGCAACAGGGGCCCCCTCTTTTCAGTTTGGGGGCCCCCTGCTTCAGCAGCAGCAGCAGCAGCAGCAGCACGGGTCTTGTACCCTGGTTATTTGCTGCTGGAGACTTTTGCTGCTGCTCTGCTGCTGCACAGAGACAACATAACTCAGCAGCAGTTTGAACGCCTCTTCCTGTTTCTCCTTGATGCTGCAACTGAACCCTGGAGGGGGGCCCCCCATGGGGCCCCCCTGGGGGCCCTCCATGGGGCCCCCCTGGGGGCCCCCCTGGGGGCCCCCCTGGGGGCCCCCCTGGGGGCCCCCTTAGGGGCCACCACTGAACCCTTTTGGGGGGCCCCCCTAGGGGCTTCCACTGAACCCCTTTGGGGGGCCCCCCTGGGGCCCCCCAAAGTTGACCCCCAAGGGGCCCCCCTGGACTCTTTGGGGTGGGGGCCCCTCAAGGGGGCCCCCTCGTTGCCTGCTGCTGCTGTTTTGCTGCTGCAGCTGCTGCGCTGCTGCGCAGGAGACCCGCTGGGGGCCCCCAAGGACCCTCAGGGGGCCCTGCTGCTGCAGAGCCCAGGAAAGTGCTGGCTGGCTACGTGGGAGGGGGGCCCCCGCGCTGCAGCAGCAGCTGCTGCTGCAGCACCAGCAGCAGCAGCAGCAGCAGCAGCAGCTTGCGAGCCGCTGCAGGTGTCACTTGATGCGAGGGGCCTCCTCCTGGGGGGCCCCCTAGAGGGGCCCCTTGCTGCAGCAGGGAGCAGCACGCGGGGGGCCCCTTCTTTGGGCGCATTTTTGCTGCTGCTGTCCTCCAGCTGTGGAGAAGCAGCAGCAGCAGCAGCAGCAGCAGCAGCAGCAGCAAATAAGCTCCCTTTTGAAGGAGACGAGGAGACAGCCAATGCAATGGCAGCACTCATCGACTCCGGGGGCCCCCTGGGGGGCCCCCTGGGGGCCCCCATTAAGACCCTTTTGGGTCAAGAGCTGCGGCTGCAGGACTTTGAATATTTGCTGCTGCTGCAGCCCCTGCCTTTGTGTCTTGATGTGGTTGTTCCCCCAGTTCCAGCTAGCCCGCTGCTGCGCGTAGCAGCAGCAGCAGCAGCAGCAGCAGCAGCAGCAGCGGGGCCCCCGCGGCTGCTGCTGCAGCCAATTGTCAGCAGCACAGCAGCGCTGAGCAGTTTGCTGCAGGGGCCCCACTTGCTGCAGTGTATGTACACCTTCCACTACGAGAGCAGCATGCAGCTCCTTTCAGTCACTGCAGCAGCAGCAGCAGCAGCAGCAGCAGCAGCGTATGACCATCGAATAACGCCGGGCAGCAGCAGCAGCAGCAGCAGCAGCAGCAGCGGGGCTGCTTTCACTCTGATGTTCGTGAGAAAGGCTTGCTGCTACCTCCAGAGCCTGAGGATTGCTGCTGCTGCGTTGCCGCTGCATGCATGGGTGTCTCCTCCGCCTTGGGCTGCTGCTGCTGCTGCTGCTGCTACGGATACTCCTGCTGCTGCTTCTAATGCTGCAGCAGCAGCAGCAGCAGCAGAGACAGAGGCCCCCAGTCGCCCTTGCTCTCTTGGGTGCGCTTCGTGGCTGGCGCTGCTGCAGCTGCTGCGCACAGCCACCGAGGCGCTGCAGCAGCAGCAGCAGCAGCAGCAGCAGCAGCAGCGGCAGCATGGGGCAGTGCAGCAGTTCCACGGAGGATGGGCAACAGGAGAAGCAGCAGCAGCAGCAGACGTGAGGTGCAGCAGCAGCAGAGACGCGGGAGAGGAGATAGAGACCTTCTGGCTGCTGCTGCTGGACGCTTTGCTTCTGCTGCAGCGCAACGGCTGGCCCTGCCCTCCTTGCTGCACAAGAAACTACAGCAGCAGCAGCAGCAGCAGCAGCAGCAGCAGTAGCAGCAGCAGCGGCTGCCCATTCGACGCCTGGCTGCTGCAGCTGCAGCAAGGAAGCAGCAGCAGCAGCACAGCTAGGGATTTGCAGCAGTTGGCAAGCAGCTTTGCTGGAGCTGATGCTGCAGCAACAGCCCCCGCAGCAGCAGCAGCAGCAGCAGCAGCACAAGAAGCGCATATGCCGCAGCACTTGACTGTGCTCTCGCAGCAGCAGCTGCAGCTGTTGCTGCTGCCGCTGCTGCGGGCTCTTATTGACTGTGGTGGCTGCTTGGGGCTTCCTCTAATAAGCCCAGCTACTGCAGCGCAGCAGCAGCAGCAGCAGATGCAGCAGCAGCTGCAGCAGCAGCAGCAGCGAAGCTTCTTTGAGGCCCCTGCCAACAGCAGCCTCCTGCTCTGTCTCAGCGACAGTTTCAGCAGCAGCAGCACGCAGGAATCAGCAGCAGCAAGACCGCTGCTGCAGCAGCGGCAGCAGCAGCTGCTGCTGCAGCAGGCCCCACTTGACTGTGGACGCCCTTTTTCTCCTGCAGCAGCAGTGCTTGGGGCTTCCTCTAATAAGCCCAGCTACTGCAGCGCAGCAGCAGCAGCAGCAGATGCAGCAGCAGCAGCAGCAGCAGCGAAGCTTCTTTGAGGCCCCTGCCAACAGCAGCCTCCTGCTCTGTCTCAGCGACAGTTTCAGCAGCAGCAGCACGCAGGAATCAGCAGCAGCAAGACCGCTGCTGCAGCAGCGGCAGCAGCAGCTGCTGCTGCAGCAGGCCCCACTTGACTGTGGACGCCCTTTTTCTCCTGCAGCAGCAGCAGCAGCAGCACCAGCACGAGCCGGATTGTACGATGACCATTTTGGCTCTGCTGCACGGCTTCACAATGGGCAGCAGCAGCAGCAGCAGCAGCAGCAACAGCAGTGGCAGTAGCAGCAGCAGCAGCTTAGCTGCAGCATCGCAGCAGCAGCTGCAGCAGCTTCTGTCTCTCTGCAGCAGCAAAACTCCTCCCCACTTGCTGCCTCTTGCTTTGTGTCTCTCTTCCTTCCCCTTTATTTCTTCTGCTCAAACGGGGGCCCCTGGGGGGCCCCCAGGGGCCCCCAGGGGGGCCCCCCAGGGGCCCCCTGGGGGCCCCCGGGGGCCCCCTGGGGGCCCCCAGGGGCCCCCTGGGGGTAGGTTTTCTAAACCCTAAACCCTAAACCCTAAACCCTAAACCCTACACCCTCAGCTGCAGCTTGTAGGCCGTCAAAACCCTAAACCCTAAGCCCTAGTCCGCAGCTTCAAACGAGTCTTTCTGCGGGGGGAAAGAAGCTTGATGCGAACTGCTGCTGCTGCTGCTGCTGTTGCTGCTGCTGCTGCTGCTGCTGCTTTGTTTTAGGCATTTCTCTCTTGGTTCGTTTCGTGCTGCTGCTGCCTCCTGTTTGCTGCTCCTGCTGCTGCTGCTTCTATTGGTGCTGCGCTGCTTCGCGTGCTGCGGTGTCTGCGTCTGCTGCTGTCAAATCCCTCTATTTCTTGGGAGTCCCCAGCAGCAGCAGCAGCAGCAGCAACAGCAGCAGCAGCAGCAACAGGAGCAGACACAAATGCCCTCTCGCAGCACCTGGTGGAGGCTCTTTTGCTTCCCTTGTCTCCCCTGCTGCTGCTGCTGCTGCTGTTGCTGCTGCTGCTGCTGCTGCTGCTTTGTTTTAGGCATTTCTCTCTTGGTTCGTTTCGTGCTGCTGCTGCCTCCTGTTTGCTGCTCCTGCTGCTGCTGCTTCTATTGGTGCTGCGCTGCTTCGCGTGCTGCGGTGTCTGCGTCTGCTGCTGTCAAATCCCTCTATTTCTTGGGAGTCCCCAGCAGCAGCAGCAGCAGCAGCAACAGCAGCAGCAGCAGCAACAGGAGCAGACACAAATGCCCTCTCGCAGCACCTGGTGGAGGCTCTTTTGCTTCCCTTGTCTCCCCAAGGTTAGCAGCAGCAGCAGCAGCAGCAGCAGCAACAACAACAACAGCACATGCACTCAAATCCCGCAGCAGATGCAGCAGCAAACACAGCAGCAAGAGCAGCAGCAGCAGCTGCAAGTGCAGCAGCAACAGCAGCAACCGCACCCTAATAAAATTCAAACTACCAAGTCAGTCGGGCCGCGTGTGTGTGCTCCCTGCTGCTGCTGCTGCTGCTGCTGCTGCTGCTGCTGCTGCTGCTGCTGCAGACGCAGCACACCTGCTGCTGCTTTGTGGGGTGCGAGGAGACAGCAGCAGCCGCCTTTGCCGCCTCGTGGCTGCCATGGGCTCTGTCTCCTCGTGGCTGCTGCAGGCGCTGCTGCCGAGCAGCGCAGCAGATAACTCTGCTGCTGCTGCTGCTGCTGCTGCTGCTGCTTCTGTGGGGCTAGGAGATGAGGATTGTGAGCTTGGATATTCTGATCCACTGCTGCTGCTGCTGCTGCTGCCGCTGCTGCTGCTGCCACCATTTTTGCCGTCATTGCTGGTATTGCCAATGCGTCGCCAGTGCTCGTAGTCGTGCTGCTGCTGCTGCTGCTGCTGCTGCTGCTGCTGCTGCTGCTGCTGCTGCTACCGCTGCTGCTGCTGCTGCGTCGCCGTACCGTCTACAGTGGTGCGCAGCAGCTTCGGCGCTCCAAACAGGGGCAGCAGCAGCAGCAATAAGAGGCATCTGGGGAAGCAGCAGCAGGAGCAGCAGCAGCTGAGACATATATCTGGCGCAGCAGCAGCAGCAGCAGCAGCAGCAGCAGTTTGTTTGTGTCTGCTGCGCTGCAGTGCGCTGCCTATGCGCCTCCGTTGCTGCTGAGTTTGCTGCTCTGGCTTGGCCCCACCGGGAGACTTTTGCTGCAGCAGCAGATTTGCTGCTGCCGCCGCTGCTTGAGGTTGTGGGGAATCCGCTGCTGCAGCAGCAGCAGCTGCCGGAGCCCCTCTTCTGTGCGGCGCCGCCTTCAGCAGCAGCAGCAGCAGCCGCTGCTGCTGCTGCGCTGCAGCAGCTGCAGCAAAACAGCAGGAGAAAGGGGTGGCCAGAGGAGACAGATGATGAAGCTGCAGAGCAGCAGGCAGAAGTAAGGAGACAGCCTCTTGGCAATGCTGCTGCTGCTGCGACTGCTGCTGCTGCTGCGACTGCTGCTGCTGCTGCTGCTGCGACTGCTGCTGCTGCTGCTGCTTCCGCTGCTGCTGCGGCGGCGAATGCGGCAGGTGCTGCAGCTACAGCTGCTGCTGCTGTTGGTGCTGAGGCTGCAGCTGTTTGTGCTGCGAATAGTAGCTACAGCTGCTGCAACTGACCAGCCGCTGCTGCTTGTGCTGCTGCTGCTGCTGCTGCTGCTGCTGCTGCTGCAGACTTTGCTGCGTCTGTCGCCCTGTGTTGTCCCTTTGCTGCTGGACTACTACGCGCCGCGTGACGTCTTGGGAGAGTTGCTGTCAGCGATGCAGCAGCAGCAGCAGCAGCAGCAGCAGCAGCAGCAGGAGTGTCCCGACCTTGCTGCATCTTTCGTTGGCTCTTATACAGCAGCAAAAGTTGCTGCTCTTGCTGCTGCGCCTCTTGCTGCCAAGTCCCTCTGCGCGTTTGTGTTGTATGAGTTGCTGCAGCTTGCTGCTGCTGCGCCTGCTGCTGCTGCTTCCGCCTCTCCAGCTGCTGCTGCTGCAGCAGCCCGCGGGGTCTCGTCTCTTGCTGCAGTGTCTCCTTTGCGGCCATTCGTTGCCCGGGTGCTGCAGCAAGCAGCAGCAGCAGAAGGGGAAAGTGCGCAGCAGCAGCTGCAGCAGCAGCTGCATTCATTGCTGCTGCTGCGACTCCGGGGCTCCAGGGGCCCCAATGGCTCTCCTTTAGATATTGGGCCTCCCCTGCAGCAGCAGCAGCAGCAGCAGCAGCAGCAGCAGCAGCGGCAGCAGCCAGTGCTTTGGCAGCTGCTGCTGGCGGCTGACGCAGAGGCGCTTGATCCATTAGCTGCTGCAGGCGCAGCCGTACAGGCAGCACCAGTAACAGCAGCAGCAGCAGCAACAGCAGCAGCAGCAGCAGCAGCAGCAGCAGCAGAGCCTCATGAGACGGAAGAGGCAGATGAGATGCCGCTGGCCCTTCGCTCGTTTGCTGCTGAAGTTGCTGCTGCTGCTGCACCTCTTCTCGCTGCCAAACCTCACCTCTTATTTCAAGGCATGCCCAATCCTGCTGCTGTTGCTGCTGCTGTTGCTGCTGCTGTTGCTGCTGCTGTCGCCGTTACTGCTGCAGTCACTATTGCTGCTGCTGCTGCTGCTGTTGCTGCTGCTTTCGTCGCTGCTGCTCTTGGTGCTGCTGTCAGTGCTTCTCTTACGCAAGACTATGCTCCACTGGTGCTGCTATGAGCAGAATCTTCTCTGCCGCTGCTGCTGCTGCTGCTGCTGCTGCTGCTGCTGCTTCTCAGCGGGGTTCCTTAGCGGCGTGCCAGTGCATGTGCTGCTGCGGCTTCTTGCTGCTGCAACAAAAAGGCCTTTGGGAAGCGAAAGGCTAGAGGAAGTGGGGGCTACTTTGCTGGCACTGACACTAGGAGGAGAGCAGCAGCAGCAGCAGCAGCAGCAGCAGCAGCAGCAGCAGCTGCAGCAGCAGCAGCAGCAGCAGGGCTACTTGCAGCACATCCTTGACACCCCACTGCTGCGCCGCACGTTCCTTCGACCTCGGCAACACCTCATTCTTCCTGCTGCTGCAAGGTGCAATAGCTTCTAGCTGCTGCTGCTGCTGCTGCTGCTGCTGCTGCTACTGCTGCTGCTGCTGCAGCTAGCCGCTGCTGCGGCGGTCGTGAATTGCACTGATTGAATGATTGTTGGCTGCCAGTTCTGTTGCTGCGGCTGCTGTTGCTGCTGCTTACACCGTTGCAGCTGCTGCTGCTGCTGCATCTTTTGCTGCACTGCATAGTTTGCTGCTGCTGCTGCTGCTGCTGCTGCTGCTGCAGCCTTGTCTCCTTGGAGACAACAGAGGGCCTCCCGTGTCCCCCTCTTGTCTCCTCAGTCTGCGATGCAATGCGGAGACACGGGATTGTGTCTCTTGCTGCAGCAGCAGCAGCACCAGCAGCAGCAGCAGCAGCAGCAGGAGCAGCAGCAGCAGCGGGAGAGGATGCTGAGGGCGACTTTGGAGTTTTCTTCCGCTGCCATTTGCTGCAGCTGCTGCAGTCAGTGCAGTGCCTTATAATTCCTCCCCCTGCTGCAGCACAGGGCACTGCAGCAGCAGCTGAAACAGCTGCTGCAGCAGCAGCAGGAGCAGCAGGAGCAGCAGCAGCACCATCGAGAGTAGAAGAAGACAGCAGCGGCAGCTGGTGCTGCGACAGCTGCAGGAGCGAGAGATGCGCAGCAGCAGCAGAGGCTGCTGCTGCTGCTGCTGCTGCTGCTCTTCCTGGGGCTGCTGAGGCGCTGCGGCTGCATGCAATGGAGCTGCTGCTGCAGCCTTCGCCGCCAGCAGCAGCACTGGGAGACGAAGGCTGGAGTTTGCTGCTGCTGCAGCGAGCAGGTGCTGCTGCAGCTCCCTCAGCAGTGTCTGCAGCAAGGAAGCGGCTGCTGCTGCTGGACGTCGTTGCTGCTGCTGTCCCCTTTGCTGCAGCAGACCCCCCCTGTTTGCTGCTGCTGCTCTCTTTCTGCTTCCGCTGCCTCGCGCATGCAAACCATGCTGCTGCTGCTGCTCCCCAAAAGGCGCTGCTGCTGCACCGGTGGGGCAGCGGCTCTGCTGCAGCAGCAGCAGCAGGGAAGGCTGAGGCTGCTGCGCTGCAGCAAGCTGCAGCAGCTGCTGCTCTTGCCGTCATTCAAGCAGCAGACAGCGAGGCACTGCAGCAAGTAAGAGTTTCTGCTGCGCAGGGCGGCAGTTTTGCTGCTGCTGCTGCTGCTGCTGCTGCTGCAGCCACGGTGACGTGGGTTGCTGCTGAGGCAGCGGACTGCAGCTGGGGCTCCTTGTCATTGTCCGTTGCTGCTGCTGCTGCTGCTGCTGCTGCTGCTGCTTGCATGCACTGCAGGTTATTGTGTCTCCCCGCGAAGACTGGTGGGGCCCCTCTTCAGTTTGCTGCTGCCTTCTTGACTTCGTGACTGACGCTGTTGCTGCTGCTCACGGGGCCCCGCAGCAGCTGCAGCAAGCAATTGCTGCTGCTTGCACGGCAGATAGAAGCAGCAGCAGCAGCAGCAGCAGCAGCAGCAGCAGCAGCAGCAGCAGCAGCGAAGCAGGCCCAAGCTATCAGTTGGGAGGCGACACAGCAGCAGACACCTGGCTTTGC